CCTCCATTTCGTTTTACCCTTTGCAATTGTTTCTACATCATAGTGGAATACAGACAAGCACATTTGGCCTTTCTATTTAAACTTTGTTTTTAAAAGACCTTTTCGTTTATCCAGTCAATCTGTTTTCTGTTTAAGTGCATGTTTGGTGACGATTCATTTTGATCGGCAAGAGCAAAAGAGCGTTTCATTCAATTTAAAAATGTTATTATAATTTAGTTTATTTTTTAATTAATTTTAATTCAATATCAATTTAAATAAATTAAATTTTTATTTATTTAAATTTAATTTAAATTTATAATAATTACATTTTAATTAAATTTTCATTTTATTTTTGTTTAGATTCTTTTATTTGATTAATTTTAATTGAATTTTAATTTAATGTCAATTTAATTTCAATTTAATTTAAATTAAATTAAATTAAATTAAATTTAAATTCAATATTAATTTAATTTCAATTTAATTTTAATTTTTTTTAAATTTAATTTTAATTTTAATTGAATTTAATTTTAGTTTAATTTAAGTTTAATTTTCATTTAATTTTTATTTAATTTCAATTGAATTATAATTTAATTTAAATTTAAATTAATTTTTAATTTAATTTTAATTTAAAGCGTTGTGCAGCAGATGCATAAAAGACTAAATATGAATATTTTATGAGCGAAATTGGAGGGGACAAATCACTGGTTAGGTTTTGGAAACTTTGCAGATTCAAAGCAAGGCGCGACCTATTTTAGCAGGCACTGATAATGGTCTTCCAATGACAACAGATACAGAGAAAGGGAAAATAATTTTGACAAGATTTATAGCCCAGACTGATCATAATGAGAGGAAGCTAAACAATTCATTCAGAGATAATATAGTACTATAAATAATAAATGATATCATTATATCAGGATATCATTTGGGTGAAAGATATAAAATATTTATTGCAAAAAGCCAAAGACACTGCGCCGGGCCAGTCGGCGTTAGGTATGCCCACACGAGGAGCATGAGTGATAATGACTTGAGGAAGATGGTTTTCACTTCAACGAGAACATCAGAACAGCCTCAGTACCTCACGACAGTGTGACAGCTACCTAAGCCCACTTCCAAAACCAGGCAAAAACCATTTCAGACACAGCGGTGTCAGGATTTTCACGCTACAAAATACTTTTAGTAATGTGCTAGTGAAGATTATTGCTGTGAAACTACACTTTTTTTGAGGGGAAAGAGGGGGGGGGGGGGAGGAAAAAACACTGGTCGAAAGATGTGTGTTGTTACCGGCCATGGAAAGATACCTGGTCAAATGCAGCTACTTTTGCTTTTGATGTTAAGGAGGGGATTCCCGAAGAAACAGGAGACGATTGTGGCCGCTTGCTTTTGAAGATGCCTACGATACAGTCAGATATGGTATTTTGATACCTGCGCTCATGGAGAAGGGAGTTTGTCAGTGGCTTGTGAACTGAATAGCAGCTGTCCTGCATTCACGTATCACTGCTCTTCGCCTGGGTTTTTTTAACCTAAGAACCATATAATGTCGACCCGGCACTAATCTAGGGTTCTGCAGTTTCACCAGTACTCTCCAATATGTATACAAGCAGGATTGCAGAACTTGAAGCACCAGCAGGTTGAAGCATATTGAACTTTGCATATGATGCTCTTGCAAATAGACAGGGGAGTAATAGGCAACGTATAGCTCAAGAGCTACAGACAGTTGCAGACACAAGTGACTGACTAGTGAGCTGAAGTGGGTGCTGTCATCAACTCAGAAAGGGTGGCTGTTTTGTGGTGCTCTCTGGGCAAAAGAATTGTAAGAGCTTATGTCCCAAGCCTCACAATTATTTATAGAAACATCAAAAGAGAAAGTAATCTGAGGTACCTGGATATCATTTTCGATAGAGGCCCGTCCCTAAGGAATCATGTGGAGGCAATTGCGGTGAAATGCCGAAAAGGACGAATTCTGGGATCTACACGAGATAGCCGGTAGTATGTATGCGATATATACTGCCTACTACTGCAGATAGGCTTTAAGTTCTGCAAGCAAAGTCATATTTCAGAGTAGCTGCAAATAAGAAGCACCTCCTGCATGAAGACGTGGATAGAGCTAAGGGTCACAGACTGAAAAGAGGAAGTTCTTGGATTTCGCAAACTAAAGACACAAATAGACATGTGTGAAAGCGTGATAAATTTTGGCGTGGAGAGGAGTGGGTCAAAGAGTCCGAGCAAGCTTCAGACTTGTAAAGGGTTCCTATTACTTTGGGTGGTTAGTGCAAGGACTGGCCAGTTTGTGCTGCAGCATCAGAAACTCAACAAATAATTCAGGACAATTCCCGCTCAGGTGTGATTATTTACACATATTGCTCTGTACTGAGATGCAGACGAAGTGCATGGGGGTTAAGTGCAAAAGTAAATGGAAGTCGCTTAGTGTAACATAGTCTTGCATATGATATCGCATCGTCTAGTTTGAAAATTGAAGGGAAAGCAGTTACTGCTGCCTTTCATTGACTTGAATCATGTCCTCTGCAATATACACACATGCCGTGACTGTAGCTGACGGACAGAGCATGTTAGGAAATGAGGAGACGGGCTTGCTTGGTACAGAGTGGCATGCATCACTTCAGAGATCCTGGGTAGTTAGCGTTCTAAGCATATTTTTTCCAGGTCATGCCGGTGTTGTTAGAAAGGAGCAGGGAGATAAACTGGCCGGCTCTGTGTTGATAGCAGGGTTGTCGATTCATTTTTATTGGGGAAGAGCATGTCATTTAGTTGGGGCGTCCGTGGCTTAGGTCTTGCGAGTGCGACTCGTAATTCCAACGAAATTCACTGCTGGCTGCTTGGGTTTTTATCATGGTAGGGGGCGTCGCAGGTCGACCCGGCCTCAAATGGGCACCAGGATGTATGTCCTGGGAAAGTAAAGAGAGCTGGCATAATGCAGACTACATTACACACCTCAGTGCTGATTGATCTGTAAAAATATGGGACTCTTTCAATATATTCAATACGCCTAGATCTTTACTTTACTTTTATGTTAGTTAATTGAAAATTTAATTTAAATTTTTTTAAATTAGACTTTAATTTAAATTTAATATAATTTAATTTTAATTTTATTTAATTTTCATTTTAATTTCATTTTAAATTCATTTTAACCTAATTTTAATTGAATTGAATTGAATTGAATTGTAACTTTGATTTAATTTTAATGGTATTTAATTTAATTTTAATGAAAAAAAAATTCTTATGGATTTTTTTTTTACATTTTTATTTAGGTAAAGTAAAAGGTCGACCTTGTTCAACCTGCGGCGAGCAGCTTTAGTTGCAATTGTGGATTGTTTGTTTGGTGCCATATGCAATTTCTAAGAATATTATTTGTGCTAAATGTAACGGCTTGGTTAGTTTTATGTAATTATAAACGGCAACAGTCTCTATTTGCGTGTCGTGGTGTCCATCTTTGCATGTCTGGGTCCGTTATCTTAGTTCATTGCTTACAGCGGGTGTTCTCTGGGTCTGTTATCTTAGTTCATTGCTTAGAGCGGGTGTTCTCTGGGTCCGTTATCTTAGTTTATTGTTTGGAGCGGGTGTTCTCTGGGTCCGTTATCTTAGTTCATTGCTTAGAGCGGGTGTTCTCTGGGTCCGTTATCTTAGTTTATTGCTTAGAGCGGGTGTTCTCCGGGTCTGTCTGACCTCCTAATTTGAGCTAGAAGCGCAACTACATATTTATTTACATTTAAGGACACCAATTCATATGGGCTGCTGCTTGGCTGCGTCTAAATCCAACTTTGAAAGACTTGGTCGATATGACCCAGGACAGGAAATATGGGGGTGTGAAAATCTGGAATTTTCATTTAAGGTATGGTGAAATATTTTATCTAATTATAATATTTCTTACATCCTATTTTATACATCGCTAAGACATGCGTTTTACAATGATTGATTTGATTTGATTTAAGAACCGACATCACAGCACTCGGGGCATTCCCATAAGCGCTCCGTCCCCATCTTCAGCAGCCAGCGAAGAGTTCCGATACTAATGGTGCCAGTAGCTTTCTGATTAAACGTCCGTCTTTCTGCACAACTTGATTGAATACTGATACATGATAGGGCAGACGTAGTTAGTGCCTTGTGGGAGAGCGTGTACAATTCGGAGGAGCAGATGGATCACCACAGTCTGGTGAGATTGATGCAGTTGAGGGTGACGGGAGGTTCTGGCAGAAGCTCGAGGCTCAGAGGAAAGGCAAGACAGACAGACGGAGACGTTTTACAAAAGCAGCTGCAACAGGCTCAAAACAATACTTTCACATTGTCAATTTCAGCAGTGCTTATACAAACACCACATCATACAACTCATTCTCTGGCACACTTCGCTGTACCTCATCAGGTGCGGTCTATTAGATTTACATCAACCAATAATAAAGCACTTAACCATCTTTTAACTGAAATGCACACATACACTGGCTTGTGTTACGCTGAAGAGCTTCCAATAGGAAGTTACAGAACAAGCATAAGCTTAACAGTAAAGTCCAAGTTTACCGTCTGATAAATGTATTTACACCATTAGAAAATTTTTTGAAGATTACACTGGCAACGAAATTGAAACCCTGAAGCCAACATTACAGCGACATGGGAACCACGACATTTAGAGCAGGGGTCAAGTAGTGTCTTTTTCACTGTGTCATTTCAGTAACGTCGCTGTGAGGGCTCCCGAACTCTTTTTGTTTTTTGTTTTTGGTTTGGGGGGGGGGGGTGGAGAGGGGGGTTGGGAATGGGTGGGAAGATATACCCAACGCCTCTTATTGTAAGCCTGTGGTAAGACGCAACTATAAAAAAAGCGTTTCCTTCGAAGTCGGAAGGCATCTGCCTACTAATAAGGCAGATTTGTAAAACAGATGTGCACGCAAAACTCAAGCACTGGAACAAAACCAAAACCAGAAACAGAATAAAATCCGCTGGATATTACACCGGTGAACGCACAACTCCAGTAACTGAAAAGGTAAATTCAACACCAATTAGACTAAAGATCTTCGCAGGATCAGTGTCCTGATATATCTCTAGTATAAGGGGTTTCTGGGATTTGTTCCTGATGTATTCTCATTTGTATAGTGTATATTTGAGTCATGCGTGTTAATCTTTCGGTATGCAAGTCTAGAAGGTTAACATTTAAAAAAAAAACGTCATTCTACAGTTTTCAACAGGCAATACGTTATAAATATACATATTATATAATATATATGTATTTATCTGTGTGTGTGTGTGAGTGTGTGTGTATCTGTGTCTGTGTCTTTCTCTTTCTGCTTGTCTTTTTGTATGATCGCCTGCGGATCGGAAGGTGGTAGGTTCCCTGACTTCTCTCAAAAAAAGACCTTGGCTCCTAGGTCGACCCAGCATTGAGTGGTTATCAGGTGCAGTCCCGCGAAGTAAAGGCGGTCAATCTGATACTGACCACATCGCCTGTCTAGTGCCGACTGGTCTATAAAATATAGGTCTAGCCCATTGATCTAGCAGTTTATGCCCTCTACGCCCCAAGGTGTGGATAATGGTCCTTTGTCTTTCACTAACGTTCTGAGGACGTGTCTGAGTGCATTTGTATGTGTATGTGTGTGTGTGCATCTATGTGTTTTGGCGTATGGTGCATATGTATATTATGGAGGTTTATCTGTTGGTTTGCATGCTAATGTGTGTATTTGTGTGTGTGTGCGTGTTAAGGTTTGTGTGTGTAGGCTTGTGTTTATGAGTACACTCCTGTAAGTACTTGTTTATGTATACTTTGCTTGTTTGCGATTGCCTATACGTGTGCGTATTTTAAGCCATATGTACGTGTAAGTCTGTATACATATCCGTACTGTACAATTGAATGTTATGTGGTTTTGTTAGTGAGCATGTTTGTGTGTATCTACAAATGTATATGTGTTTATGTGTGCACATTTTGTTCGTTTATGCCTATGCAGAATGTGTAAGGGCATCTGTATGTACGTCTATGTGTATCTAAATGCTTGTACCTTTAGTTATGTTTAGCTCGCATTATCTTCATTGCGCTTCGGATACCATTAAATATGATGAATTCGTGAAAGGCAAAGAAGAGAAAGTTTGACGAACGGTGTGAAACAGCGGATTTGAGATAAAGATATAATGTGCACATCCGAGGAGAAACGAACATAGAAACACTAAACAATCACTTAAATGGGAAACAAATGGGCTATGGAAAATTGTACGAGAAAAGACTGGAGGAATTGGCTGTGAGCCCTGTGTGACGCATATATGGAGAAACAGGATAATGATGTTGCATCAGAATCATCGGGTTAACACATTCATGGACATACTTGTTTGTCCTTCAAGAGCTCATTGTTTCGTAGTTAGAGAATTGTTACCACAGTTGTGATTGCATAGGTAAACCTTAAATATTTAAGAATTACTTTTCAAAGTCACGAATTGATACTGAACACACTCCCCCCCCCCCCCCCCCCCCCCACACACACAGTTACATGCTGAATGTGAATTATTACGTCTGTTTTCTCGAATATCTCTCTTGTAGACATGGATGTGTGGGAGTCGATTGGAGATAATTCCATGTTCACACATAGCCCATATGTTTAGACCCCATTTTCCATACAAATGGGTCGGGAAACCTTACATATTTGAAAGAAATTGTCTTCGTGTGGCCGAGGTTTGGATGGACCAGTATAAAGTGTTTTACCAGCACAGGGTTTCTAACTTACAGGTCAGTATCTATATTCTCTCTCGTTAGTACTGTCTCTTGCTCTATCTCTCTCTCTCTCTCTCTCTCTCTCTCTCTCTCTCTCTCTCTCGCCCTCTCTCTCTCTCTCTCCTCCCCCTCTCTCTCTTGTATATATATATATATATATATATATATATATATATATATATATATATATATATATATATATACTAGCTGTACCCGGCCACGCGTTAATGTGGCATAGTTTGGCTGACTTGAAAAGAAAGAAAATAGAAATCTTGCTTCGTACATCGAAGTAGTCGGAAAAATTACCCAAGTGAAAAGCTATGAAAACAAGAAGAATACACAATAATTACGAAATGATTGCTATGGTAAACTGTACCAAGCACGTGTTGCTACGCCTCTAATAGAAATTCAATTGAAAGGAAAGTCGATATAACAATATGTAGTATTTATTTTGGATCATTGTGCTGTTTACAAATCCTTAGGAAAAAACAGGCAATTTAAAATGTAATTGTTCTAAGTTTTTCCGCCTGGTGCGTACACGAATAAATCAGTAGGTTTTCCGACGCTTGAACAGGCCACATATGGCAGTCCATGTGAAAAGCATGGATGTTCCAAATGTAGTCCACACAATTGTTCTGACTGCCCCTGTGATTTGTTGATGGTCATTGCTAAGGTGAGTCGCACCAGAAACTGCAAGCATCTGAAGTTGAATGGCATGTCTGTTGGAATTGCGTTGCAATAGTATATCCTGGCCCTTAAATGTTCATGTAAAATTGTACTTACGATGATATTGGGCACAATCTTTTTCACCGAAAGCCTGCTACCACTGCAAAGATGTGGCGGATTGATGTTTCTGAGAAGAATAACAGGCACGCCAACTTTCAAGGTTAAAACATGGGGTGGCATGCCTGGCAAATAAAGCGAATTAAAGAACTCAGTTGGATAATTGACAACCTCGTAGCTACCAACTTCTGCTACCAACATTAACGCTTTTTCCTAGCTGTACCCGGCCACGCGTTGCTGTGGCGTAATTTGGCTACATGGAAAATAGAGAACATAGAAATGTGTCTTCGCTTCACGCTAGCGATGTACAGTGCAACAGCTAAACCACAGCTAATAAAACTCTGAGTGGGTAAAGCAGTTACTGTAACTTAAATCTATCTCAGTAAACAGTTTATTGTAACCACCCATCCCCCAGTTCACATACTACTTTCTCCTTCATCGAAGCAGTTGGAACAATTACCCTAGTGAAAAGCAATGAAAAGAGGAAAAATACACCATAATTACGAAATGAGCACATTTGCTAATTGCTGTAAACAACCCTGCACGCGTTGCTGGACTTCCGGTTAAAATGGACGCTAGACAGCGGCGCCGTTCGGAACAGAGGCAAATTTTTTGCTTCTGTCGGACGGTGGCCGATGCATTTTTGCTCCATTTGTAGACTGGATATAGTTTCGTCGCCCAGCTTCTGAGTTGAATGCATGGCGTGACCCTGTGAGCTGCGGATTGCATTTGGAATGTTTTTTTCGACTGTGACCAACGTGGTGGTGTGAATTGTAGATTCAGAAAATGGCGCGATGCCTGTCGTTCAATGCTGGCGGGGCCCGTATTAAAATTGATCACGCGGACAACTGCTGATCTGTTGACGACAAGTTCTGCTATCATCAATGATGAACTGCATTTCTAATGTTGGACTGTTTGTGTTAGCACTTCGGATGGCTACCATATGCTTTAATGCGAGTGTATGCTAGATATGCTGAGACAACAGTCTGTCAATCTTTCCACAAGGGACTGTGATAGACATTCTGAGTGTCTTTCGTTGGCACAGGAGCGGAGCAAAGATGGGGCAACCCGTTTGCTATGAAGCTGAAACTAAGACTACCATACCATACCATACCTGCACGCGTTGCTACAATAGAAAGTGAATTGAAAGGAAAATCGCTTTAACAAAATGTAATGATATTGGATCATTGTGCCGGTAATTTAACATTAAAAATGTGTTTACTGAAGTGCTTTTGGGTAAACAATGTTCTTTGTTCTTCCGTCTGGTGCTTACACAAATAAATTAGAAGGTTTTCCGACGCGTGAACAGGCCACATATAGCTGCCCATGTAAAAAGCATGGATGTTCCAAACGTAGTCCACACACTTGTAGGGATTGTCCCTGTGATTTGTTTATGGTCATTGCAAAGGCGAGTCGCACCGGAAACTGCAAGCGTCTGAAGTCAAATGGTATGTCTGTTGGAATCATTGGGATGCGTGGCAAAAGTATATTCTCGCCCTTAAATTTCCCATTTAAAATTGTACCTTCGATGATATTGAGCATCAGCCTTTTCACTGAAAGCCTGGTACCATTGCAAAGACGTGGCGGATTGATGTTTCTGAGAAGAATGATGGGCTCGCCAATTTTCACGGTTAAAATGTGGGGTGGCATGCCTGGCAAATCAAGTGAATTTAAGAACTCAGTTGAATAATTAACAATTTCGTCCTGATTCATTACAGTATCGATAGACTTATACGTTGTCACACCGCCTGGTAATTAGTCTTAGATGTTCGGATTCATGGCAACTCACGATCGAAAAGGTTGTTTGCAGATTGTTCTGGTGGAGCCAGTCCCACCTGAACCAGTGCTTTGTTAGTTATTGTCAAACTTATGTCCTCAATGCAAACAAATGCCTCATAATATACATTTGGTAATAATTGAAGGTCCTGATCATGCTACGTTTCACGCCAGGATGTCTTCACTCATGTAGTCTTTGTATTTTTCCCAAAGCTCTTTTGGAATGAATGGGAAGCGAGTTGTCAATATTATTGCAAATAATTTGCTGTGGTCGAGCAGTATTCGAAGCATCAGCGAGTGAAGTGTCCCAATGTGCATCATTTTCAAGAAGATTTAATTCTTGGCAACCTTCACGGTAAGTAGCGCATACTTTACCATAAACTGTTCTCAAGTCCTAGAAGGATGCCGGTCCCCGTTTGTTGATTAAAAGAAATCGCAAGTAAAAGCAATCTGCATTTTTGGGATGAACAGTGTACACACGGCCTGAAATATCAGTAGAATATAAATTAAGATGTCCGTCAACCGCTTGACCTTGCTTGCAACGTTGAAACTTTTTAGCTGATGCATTCCATGTGTAGTATATTGGCAGGTGAGAGTAAAGCAGTGTCTTTGCAAACATATCTCTACACAATGAGAAAAATCAGTTAACGTGGTTGGCGATGGTAACAATGCTCGTGCATGTGCATTCTCTGTAGTGAAGTACACGCGCTGTCCATTGTCAAGGTGCACTGCCAAATAAACAACTGCTGGATGTCATTCATGAATTGGAAATGAGAAAATGTGCCATACCGCTTCATTGCAACTAATGTAGCGTCCCAGCTGATATTGCTTGTTTTTATCGATAGATGCAGCTGCATGTCCCACTCCAAAGACTGCCATATCGCCTCCTTTGTTGACATATTTGCAAATGTACTTATGTTTGCCAAGAAATGTGTCGACTGGCCTGTGTCACCTACTACCAATGATGATAATGGTTCGGGTGGTGAATGTAATACTGGCCATTTACCTTTTCCACCAGCGCAGCACATACCAGACAGATCATTCTTAAATTTGAAGGCATTGCAATGTACGCACAATTTATCCATTTTGCCAAAAAGCGAGAGTGGATGAAGACCAATCATAATTGCTGGTGTAATGGAATGCACCAAGATTCAAATCAACATGCAGTGTTCGCCTGGATAAAGTAGTGCGCATTTGAACGTGTTTGAGTCTTGCTTTCCGTTGCTGGTCTGATTGAGATGAACGGGCTTCAGCAGTGCGCACTCGAATGGTTTCCAGTCTTACCTCACGATGCTCGTCTGTTTCTGAAGCAATTAATGCCCTCCTCTTGCGTGTTTTAGGTGTAGATGAGCGCTGATCATCAGTAGCTTGTTCATCCTCATGATGAAAGTTGACTTGAAGTATTGCTGAAATAAATGAAAATATGAGCATGAGATAACAATCTATTTTGACTCAAGAAGAAATGCATAGAAACTGGGCAGCAAATAGTAGGAAAAGGCGGTATATAAGACAATATGAAAAAGCCAACAGATAATGTGCATACATTTATCATTGTGGGATTTAAGGAGTGGTCCACACATGTATTGTCTTCCCCACAATGGGACCCCGTAACCCACACGGGGAATAATGATAATGTGTATATATTTATCAATGCGGGATTTAAGAAGTGGTGCACACTTGTTTGAAGTAAACAAAAAACATGTACATACTGGTTTGCAGTCAGTCTCACCTCACGTTGCTCGTCTGTTTCTTACGACATGCACGATAATAGTTAATGATAATGTGTATACATTTATCATTGCGGGATTTAAGAAGTGGTCCACATTTGTTTAAAATTAAACAAAAAACAAGTACATACTGACTAATGTTACTTAAATAAATGCTCTTACATTTTTATATATTTCTTGATAACCGATAGCCATTTTCCTTGCGGGCGGATGTTGACGAAAGAGCGTCACTACTGCGCATGCACGGTAAATCGATCCCACGTAACGTGGCTATAATTAGAAATCACTGAAGTAATAAATATTAGTTGCGTATATTTTGGCATAAATTGTGGTCACCTATCTCTAACAGTGACAGGTTGAATTTCAAACCACGACAGTTCAAAATCCGGTATCACAAAAAACATATCCTGAAAAATTCAGCTAAATCGGTTCAGTAGTTTCCGAGGCTATAGGGAGCAAACAAACACACAAACATTGATTTATATATATGTATATATATATATATATATATATATATATATATATATATATATATATATATATATATATATATATTATTTTTCACAGTTCCATCTTATATGTTTTGTTACGTGTTAGCTCCTGCAATTCTTTTTTTCTACCTTTCTTTTTTAAGTTTACTATGTTTTGGGAAAAGTGTATTATTCTTTATCAGTATTCGCAATTTAAAATTTAGAAACAATTTATAATGAAAACTCTCGTCATTATGTTTGTGCGCCTTGTGTCCTTTTCTCGTGG